CATCAATTGTATCATTCAAATAATTCGGAGAACATTCTTGTCTAATTGCGAACAATACATCTATATTTTTTTATCTCATTTTTATATCATCTGCAGTACAAGAAGCTCCAGAAGAGGAAGAAGAGGAAGAAGCAGAAGATATGATGAGTATTCGAATATCAAATACAATTGCCATTAATAACATCCAAAATCTATTTAATTATTTGCAACAAAATTCCGATATAAAAGTTAACAGTTCAGTAATCTCAGGATTGAGAGATTTACAACAACAAATTAGAAGAAAACAAAATGCTTCACTAAAGCAACCTACTTTAGAAGAAAATCTTTATAATAGAAATAATCCTTAGTTTTTTTGATATAGTTTTATTATTATTATGTTTATTATTATATATTTTCGATGTTTATTATTATATATATTATATATTTTCAATGTTAACATTTTTTATTTTAATAAATTAAAAATCACGTGAAATTCGATAAGTCGGTCGCAGGAGTCCGCCCCAACATGACCGACTTATCGAGTTTACATATGTATTGGTAAAATCACCTTTTTTAAATGTTAAAGATTTCTTTCTATAAACTTCCAAATCATGAATCTAGCCACTTTGTATCTGAAAAGTTAAAAATAAAAAACGTATGGATAAAAGCCAAAAAAAACATTATTATTGTATATAAGAATAAATTTTTTGATTCAGTAGTACGCAAAAGTAAGAACAATTTTTTGATATAGTATGACCCAATTTTCTTTCGAATCAGTAGTACCCAAAAGTATCGACTACGCGAGAAAGCAATCTAGAACCCAGTAGCACAAACAATTGGTAGGACACAAAGGTAGAGTTATATATAGGAAAAGAAAGAAAAAATTTTGCTTTTGCGTCCTACCAAATAGATGGAATTCGGCACTTCGTGCCTCAAACCTGGCATTCGAATTCAAGATACAAAGCCAGATCACGTCACCCTCGAATGTGGCCAGAGTATGCTTAGCATGTAGTGGTAACAATCGGAAGCCAAACGTGGCCAATTTTTTGAAATGCACCACCCTCGAGTGTGGCCAAAACCAAGAAATACGCCAATGTAACAAACGTGATTACCGTGAACCATGGTTTGCGATCAACTTTGAGTACCACTTTTGGAAATGTTGGAAACTGGCCATGGGCGCCAAATAGATGGAATTCGGCACTTTGTGCCTCAAACCTGGCATTGAGTGCGATCCAAAAAGTTTGCTTACCAACGTTTGTCTCGGGGGTTGACAAAAGTCCATCGTTATTGACATCCATAATGATCATTAAAAGTGCACATAAAAATCAGACACCTTCTTAAATATATAATCCGCTCATCAACCCGCAATCAATACCGGGCACATATTTTTTTTCATCCAAATGCTAGCACAAACTCGAAGACACAGACGACCACGAAATAGTCTAATTTATTAATAATTACACCATTGCGGATTTGCAAACCAGGATGCTTTGCATCCAGTTCAGGCATAGCCCTCACAATCGGCGCTTCATGCCTCAGCCTCAGGTGATGAAAGCAATCAAAGGACCAAAGAAAGCTGAAAACCTCATCAAAAGGAAGCAAATATCAAGCCAAATAGGCACCAAAACGGGTACCCAAAAATAATTATGTAACAGTCTAATCATAAGTATGTAACAGTCTAAGGCAAGTAGGTAAAAGTATATATATACTTTTACCTACTGATACTTATAACAATGATTCATCAAATACTTCTTTAGGAGAAACTGAAAAGGCTACATTTTTATCATTATTAAGTGAAAACAAAGAATTTTTAGAAAATGAAAAACAATATTGTAAGGAATGATATGTTTATGTTGAAGAAATAAAATATGCAATGCACAAAAGTGGTGAACCACACAATTGTAAAAGATGTAATGCAACAAAATATTCTACTAGATTTTGTGAAAACTGCATTAGCTTTTACACCTACAAACCCTTTTTAATACTTGGACTTCAGGAAATAAAATTGTTGATGGTTTTATTCAACAATGCCAAAAACTCTCAGCTCTCCCAGGAAATATAATGGAATGGATCCCATTTGATCAATTCAAAAATATTAAATATTTAACAAAAGGAGGATTTGGTAGTATTTATGTGGCAGGATGGACAAGAGGATATATAAATGATTATGATGAAGATAAAAAAGAATTTAGTTATTTTGGACCTCAAGCAGTAGTTTTAAAACATTTAAATAATTCAAATAACATTGGAAATAAATTTTTTGATGAGGTCAGTAGTAATTTCATTTAAAACACAAATAAATAATTTATAATTTTAGATTAATTGAGTTTATCTATATTTTCAGGCATTGAATTATTGTAAAATTAAATCAGATATGATTGTTAATTGCTATGGTATAACTAAATTCCCAGATAATGGAAATTATGCAATGGTTCTTAATCATATACAAGAAGGAAATTTAAGAGATTATTTAGAAAAAAATCATTCAAAATTAACTTTAAAAGATAGAATTATAATTTTAAATATTTGTGTAATTCATTATATCATATACATGATAAAGATTTAATTCATTGTGATTTACATAGTGGTAATATACTAGTAGATGGTGGTGGTTGTCTTATTACAGATTTAGGATTATGTGGGCCAGTTGATGATAAATCATCAAATAAAATTTATGGGATCATGCCATATATTGCGCCTGAAGTTTTTCAAGAGGGGAAAAATACAAAAAAATCAGATATTTACAGCATTGGAATGTTAATGTGGGAAATATTTTCTGGACATCCACCATTTGATAATAGATCTCATGATATAGATTTAGTTTTGAATACTTATGATGGATTAAGACCAGAAAATTTGTTTAATATGCCAGAAGATTATAAACAAATGATGCAAAAGTGTTGGGATGCTGATCCATCTAAAAGACCAACTATTTTGGAGCTTTGGGTATTTGCTGATGATTATTTAACTAAAGTTCATAAAGGTGAAATTTTAAATAATAGTGGTGGCAATGGTGGTAATGATAATGGTGATGGTTCACAATTGAAAAAATATGAATTGCATCCACAAGCATATAATACAAGTAGAATATTCAATGTTATTAATCCTAAATCAAATGGTATTAGTTCTAGTTATGTAACTTCAGTATATGAACCTAGAATTCCATCTACTAGAATTGATATTATTACTAATGGTAAATATCCTGACTAATTGATTAACTATTACTTATTATATTTATTATTTAAATATATTTTTTTTTTCTAATTAGTGGAAAATACAATTTATGAAGATGTCATTGTAAGTGATGAGATTGAAAAGACTGAAGAGAAGGAATAAGTTAATAATACTTTTACCAATTTTGCTTTTAAAGGTTTAGGACCATTTCAATGATTTATTAGAATGTTAGAAATTGTAATTTCACCTTTAAACTTTATAGTATTGATTTATTTTTGAATATTCATCTCCATTCATTATGTTGTATATTTCTTAATGCTCTTAATAAATCATTTATTTTTATCCATTATATCTTCTAATTTATTATTTCTTAAATATTCTTCTAATGGATCATCTATATATTTAAACTAAATGCTTTCTATTACTTTATATGCATCTTTGCTCAAGATATCTAAGTAATGGTGATGGTGTATAAAGTTCCTCTAGATCGAACCTATCAAATACATCCTGCAAGAACTTAAGACATTTAGAAGATGTTCAGAAATACAGATGCATCATGATATTTTTTGCAGTTGGCCTATACCATCATGTACTGTGAGAATTATTATATAAATTATAATATTAAAAAATTTGCCTTTTTTTCAGGTCCCCAGCCTCTGCATCATTCTCTTTTAAATGCTTTAAATTATTTAGGTTATAGAGACACTCTTCAATGCATTTATTTTTCTTAAATATAGGCTATGATGACATTACTTCATAGTCTATAGTTGTGTCAATAGTCACAAAAGAATTC